GTTAAGTGCAGTCAAATGTTTTATGGACTTACCATCATAGACGTTCGAAGATTGATTTACGAAGTAGCGCTGTTGAATGTCTGTATAATCTTAGAAAAAAAAAAATAATCGATTAATTATCGTTGCGGACTCCAAAGGGTTGCAGTTTGAGCAGAGCAATGTCTTTCAATCGCCATAATGTTGGTTTGTTCTTCCATAATTTATTGTATGTCATTATTTTGACGTAAAAGACTGTCTAGTACCTAGTACAAATAGAAATATTATAATAATATGAAGATTTATGTTTTTTTAATATTTCTTTGCAATTGATCCAGTGTGCCCCAGCCGATTCACTGTCACCCGTGCAGTGATCCAAAGTGACCCGTTCCTTGGCCACAGTGGATCATTTGTATTTTTTTTCAAAGTGCCTATACCTTGTAAATTTGTATAACACACGCCATGAAGGGTCTCTTATTTTAGACATTAGATATTCACATTATCCTTTAATTTCAGATGTATCATTTTGTTTAATCATAAGATTAAATAAATAATATGTTTAACGTTATAAGAGAAATTGTTATATAAAATTATCGTTTTAACCGTGTAAGTATGTATATTTTTTATGCATTTTGATATAAAAAAAATTTTGGTGTCACAGAAATATTTTTTTTCCATGTGTACACCACAAAATATTTAGGAAGTAGTATCGAAAGAATGGTTGTTCACTTTTTTTGTGATAACTTTTTAAACTTTTGTTTCTGCAATAATGAAATTACAACATATTATAATAAATTTTCTACATAAATTTAAATTTATAATTAAAAACAAATAATCTCCTTAATTGACGTCAATATAAATATATATAGTAATATATAAAATTACACATATTATTATTACTAACGAACTCACTATAAATAGATTCTCCTTGGATTTCTACGCGGTAGAGGTGGGAGCGAGAAGTATGACGGCTACATCTCTCTACAACCTACTAAAAGACTTCGCCTGTCTAAGAACTAGTATATATTAATTCTTGGAACGTACTTCGAATGCAGACCTAGTACGTTCTTTTCAAATCTTGCTAGGTAAAGAGAGGAGCTTTAATGTTCTTTTCATAAGGGCCCCTTTAACCTACACCTGGTTTACAAGTCCCAGGCACGGTTGAAGCTCCTCTCCCTGCAACACTATGGACCTATCACCGGAACGCTGAATCCATTGAATGCTAAGGAGGTTTCGTCTCAATTCAAATTTATGTCATCAGCCTATCAGAAGCCCACTGCTGAGCAAGGCCTCTTCCTCTTTCTCAAGACGGGTTGGTGATTTCAAACTTATAATTGTGAAACTATAAGTCCAGGTTTCCTCACGATGTTTCCCTTCACCGTATGTCAGTGATGTCTAAATACTCTCAGAAAGTACATATGACTCCGAAAAATCACATTGGTACTTGCCAGGTTTGAACCCGCGCCCTCGGCAACGAGAGGCGGGCCCCTTAACCACTAGGCCACCACTGACTTATAATTCAAATTTAGAAAATTATATTTTTAATTGTGTCAAGTCTATTGTAATGTGAAAAATGAGGGATTAGATATCCAAAATAATATCTGATAAGATTAATATCACTTCAATAAGGTCCAAATATTGAAAGACGTTTTTTTCAAGAACAGGTTTTGGTCATCACAAAATAGACAAAAAAAACAGACAAAATTTATTTATTATTTATAACATATTTTTTTTAACAAATAATGTAAGTTAATATATTATTTAACATTGACTTTGTTTACATATTCTATCCATAATATTATTAATGTACAATTCATACAACAATTTTATTGAATCGTGTCTGCTAGAAATGAATCGATGTCCACGACACAGGCGTAGCTTATTGTGGACGTCAACGTTTATTATAAATTGCATTGTTAAGTGTTTTTACAAATAAATAAATAAATGAAAATATTTTACTATATAATGTAAATTGAATGAAATAATCTACGTCAAAACATTTATAAAATCTCAATTATTATAATAAAGACTACCTATCTAAATATTACAATTAATTTAAATTCGTTTCACTTTTTATTTTATATGATACAAGGTAGTCTTCCTCTTCCTGGCAATTTTCCCAGCTTTAGCCAGGGTCTGCCAATGATACAAGAGAGTAATAGTTAATAACTATATTTTAATTTTACACATAGCTTTCTTGAAGCCCTGTCAGAAATGGGGTACGAGTCGTCACAATCTCTCGATACGACTTCGCGTAACCGTAAACTGGTCGTTCGTTCTGAAATATTATTAATTATGTTAACACTAATGATCTAGTTTAGACAAGCCTTGACACATTTATTTTTTGAAGCATTAAACTGAATATCTCATTCTTGATACATTAAGATAAATAGTGTTCATCTGTTGTAGTAATGTATATTGTAATACAAACTAGTACTCAAAGTAAAAACTTTACATAAATGCAGTTGAAAATGTAGGGCATACGAGAAGATCGTTTCGAAAGCCTTTCTGTTCTTTTAGCATGTGAAAAATACGCTTAGGCAATTGCTTGATTATTAGGATGAATTTTACCTTTATATCTTAGAAGATTGCTTTATAAAGTAGGTTTTAATTCATGACGAATAATAAAAAAAATTACAAAAACTTTTTCTGAAAAAATAGAAATATTTCAAAAGTATTTAACCACTTTTTTAAGAAAAAATTTAATAGCCAGTTTATTAACATAATATTTAATATAAAGTTAAGGATAGATACTGTGTTCACACAATATCTGTATATTATGAAAGTTTCATAGGTGTTAAAAATGATCATAAAGAGCTCCCGCGGTGAGGGTGATTAGGGGGTACCGATCGGTCTCCTGGGCCGCAGCGACTGCCCTTGCCGGCGATCCGCTTTGGGATCTCGTGGTGTCGCTTCGCGCCGAGATGTTCGCCTATGTCTCGGGTAGGATGTCACTCGGCAAGAACCCTTCGTCGGAGGAGATCCGAGCGGTTCATCGGAAAGGGAGGAGCACCTTATGCAGGAGTGGGGGGAGGACCTGGCGGAGCAGCCGTACGGTAGACTCACTTTCCGTCTGACGCAGGGCTTTACCGGGCACGGGTGCTACGGTAATTACTTCTGTCACCCTCGAGGTGTGCCCGAGATGGACTGCGCAGCGCCAAGACCTTGTGGCGGCTCTCGGCGGAGTGGACTTGTCGCTTTGTCCTCCTACTGTGAGACAGTCATGTCCACGAAGGAGGCATCTGAGCGGCAAAGGGAGAGTGCGGCTGATGCAACCTCCCTCCGCAGACGACGTACGTGGGTGCGACGGAGGCCATTCCAACGGCTCCAATAGCACCCCTGTGTTCCGGGCTGGGGTCGGCTTGGTAACCCGGCTCCAGTGAAAGCCCGGCGTCGTCGGGGCTATCCTACTTGCTAGGATAGCTCCGATATTTCGAGGGACTAAGTCCGGTCTTTGCCAGGACCGGCCAGTTGTTGGTGTGCCTTGTCGCTGACAGATCTGAGATACACCGAAATAGCGGCCGATGGCTTTCCCAGTGGTTTTAGTGAGTAGGGGCCTGCCCAGGTCGAGTCTCACACATCCATTCCGGCCCCACCAAGGCCGGTTGGACGGCTCGTAAAAAGAGTTTCCCTGCGACATCAAAAAAAAATTTATTAAAAAGTACACGAGCTTATACTATAAATAACTATTTAAACTTGAACTCACCGACAAATCATGCTGAGTATTAGTTGGCCACTTTGCTGATTGGGTGTGTGCCAAGCTTTGAGATTTTGTAGAATTTTTCACTTTAATTACAACTGCTGAATATTGCGGTGGTTCAGGACGGGCATCTGTGACACCTATGATAATTCATCTTAACTATTTTATAATAAATGATTAACATATAATATTATAAAATGCATTTTATAACACAAATCAGCATTATATTTTACTAAAATTTTGTTTCATAAAGTAGTTGTCTTAGATTTCTAGTATTTTAAATTACTTCCAAAACTTATTATACAATAATGTTATTGTACATAGTTGGTTTCCAAAATCTTAAAAGACTTCTATGAAAATATGATTATAATTTTAAACCATTGTTATTATCAATTAAATTGAGTCATTTAACGTTCATAAATTATGAAACCTAAATTCATGAAAGCAACTCAGAAAAACGTTTAAAATCGTTTCGTGACTATACAAGTAATTATTCAAAATCGTTTGGGATGGGATGCAATAGATCGACAAATACGCTGGGGATCACTCTGTTCCAATACTCAGATTAATACAAACAATAAAATATTTTCTGTCCTGCAATTCATGAGCTTTCAATTTATTCTTTTAAAATAATTAGACAGTTGGTTCGGGCCTACGAATGTTTCTGACTTTTGACATTTGTTGAAAAAGGAGTGATGAAATAAATCAAAATATTATTTCCATTATACTCTGCTTTTATTATAACGTGAATCAAAAATAAAGGGATGCTTTATTATTGCTTTATTCTAGTTTACTCTAAAAATTGTTTCATAAATTTTAATAAAAGTCGGATCGGAATGTATTTTGAATTCAAAATAATATCGGATTGTATATCAAAGTGATTTTCATTCATTCCATAAAAAAGGCAGCAATTTCATGTTATATAATATTAGAAAGTGTAGCACACATTGAAGAATATTTGTGACTAAATTAACTCAAGACGCAGGGGAATTTCTATTTGAAGCGTAAAAACTACGGATTTAGGTTTTTAGATATTTTCACTAGAAAAAGTTTGTGATCTCTCTTAAATATATGTATGTAGAATGATTCAAACAACAGTTACAAAAAAAGTGTGGGATAATACTGTAATTACTTTTACTGAAAGGAACGAGAACTGGAGTACAATCATCCGCCGAGCATCTTTTCTGGAGAGCCACCTTTTGATTGTTCGTTGATGGTACTGACACTAAAAAAAAACATCATAAGATTCCGATCCTGATTGTAAATAAAAAAATATATAATTTAACAACAACATTAGTTATATTAAAAAATATATATCTTAATTCTAACCTCCGTAATCTCTAACACTGTGTCGTAATCTTGAAGCGATAAGTGCAGGGCATAGAATAAGTGTAACAGCAAGTACAGCGCCAAGAACACCACCGACAGCCCAGTTGACTTGGTATGGGAATACCTCTTGCGCTTCTGAAAATTAAATTATTACATAAAATCAAACCTTTCTAAATATGTATGAAAGTTAGAAGTAAAATTGTTTCAAATTTATATTTTTTTACTTATAATGAACCTAATGGATGAGTATGCACAGAACGCATTTAAATAAAGTCAAAAAATCTATTACCGGACGACTTTATAAATTATAATTGACATAAATAATAGAACTTAAAACAAATATTTTATTAAAATTTTTGTCTCATTTTAACTAAATTTTTGCGATATATTACATTAAAATAAATTTCATTTTAATCGGTCAATAAAAAATGATAAAACGAAGCATGACCCCGCTTTAAAGTCTACTTGACACTGATATTCTGTGACAGGGTGGTTCTTCCCCGGTCGAGCCAGACCATATTTAAGTTGTAGTTACTTGTCTAAAGTTGGGCTCTATCACCTAAATGCGCGATATGGGGGGTAAAACATAAGAAATAAAACTCAAAAATACTTTTAATTTTTTGTGTATTCTCGTTTAAATATACATTTATTACAAAGATTAGTTCATTTATTTATACCTTCGAAAAGAAAATAGTAATAGATATAGCAGATTGGTTGTCACAGTAAATAGGTACTGGACATACATTCAAGCGAGCGCATTGAAGCTTTACAATATATCGTCGGGTATAGTGGAAATCCGTGTGACTACCATTTTTTTTTTTTTTTTTTTTTTTTTTTTTTTTTTTAACGAGGAGAATCTTTCAAAGACTTCCCGCCGCGGGGGAAACACGGCGGGGGCGTGTGGGATTTCCACCCACTGAACTCCTCGGCGTTCTCTGCGCAGTGCGTAGGCTAGTGAGCGGGAACGGCGAGCCATGCTTCCGCTCACTACGCACAAGTCCCGAAAGGGACTCCGCCATCGGCAGGGGTATCCGTGGCTAGACCACACCACCCCTCCGACTCAAGAGCAGCGTGCCGGGAACGCCAAACACGCCGCTCTCACTCAGGCCTATGTTACCCGGACGCCGGTTCCCCACCGACGCCCGGAGGCTCCTCACTGGGGAGGCAGGTCGCGGGCATATGCCCGCTGCCTTCGACCCAGTCTACGTCGACGCAAGGGCGCCGAGGAGGGGTCGTCTTCCCGTGCACGTTCTGCGGCCTCTTTCCGCGACATCACGTGCTCGCAGAACTTGACCATCGCCTCCCAGGCCCTCTCGCTACCGACCATGGCCTGAACCACAGCCGGCAACGATAGGTCTGCGCCAACCACTGTGGTGAGCTGGCGACGCTCTACAGCCCACGCAGGGCACTCCGCCAAAGTGTGATCGGCCGTGTCATCCATGCAACTGCAATGGTGACACGCCGCAGTCGACTCTCTCCCGACTATGTGGCACAGATACCTCCCGAAGCTACCATGCCCCGAGAGGATCCGTGTGACTACCATTGGATAATACCGCGTATCTACATTTGACGAAAATTATCAGAGGAAAGTTTGAGCTGAAATATTTCCTAAATTTTTAACGACTTTTAAGGTATTTTTTTACAATTAGTAATAAATTAAACACTAAATAATTAGTAATTGTAAAAAAAAATCTTTTTTGAGAACATTGTTTGAGCGGCTTCAATTAATGTCCAATTCCGGGGTGGAAGGTACAAAAGGTACTTTGTTTGATGTAATATGTCACATTTACTAAATATTTCTTGAACCACCCTATTTATTAACTCTAGAACATTGTCAGATCTAAACATCTTTATTTTATTTCCAGCCACATTTTCTGCTTTGCTCACAAAATTATCGATACAATTTTTAATCTCGAACTTATTCTTGTCAAAGTATACTAATCTGTAGTTCCAAAAATCATCTTTAAAAACTACAAATATTTCGATTCGCCGACCGATATGACCTCCATAGGACCGCAGGTATCAATATGGATTAATTCATACGTTTTCTCAGTAACGGTTTTACAAGTTCTGAATTTCTGTGTATTTTTCTTTATAAACAAGTGTCACATTTAGAAATCTGAGTTTGCTTATCGTCGATGTTATTCTTCAATAGTATTTTTCATACATATTCAATATTTTGATGTGCTAATATTTCGTGCCACTTTTGCATAGTAATTTCAACTTTTTAGCCAGTTTATTTATATACAGTAACTCAAAGTAGTTGAATTTTAAATTCGATTTGCAACTGCACAAATTTTATTGTCTTTTTATCAACATGACATAACGTTTGTCTGACACACAAAGAATAGGTTGGTTTTTAATTCCGAGACGAATAACACTATAATATTCTTAATTACACAATAATCTTGTTCAGTACTGGCAAATGATGGAAATAATTCACGGCCAAGGCACATGTGTTCACTGGCCCCAGTGTCCATTAACCACTGAGGTTGACAATGTTTTCTTAATGAGTTTGACACCACAAATGTGTTACTTTTCTTTTGTTCTTTCTTCTTCTTAAAACAACACTTTGAATTATAATTTCCAGTCTTTCCACAATAATAGCATTTGTAATTCTGTCCTTCACTTTTAAAGTTACACCCGCTAAGAAAATGTCCAAGTTTGTTACATTTATAACGATTGATATTCTTTATATCCTTAACAAGGAAAGCTCACGAACTTGAAGAAGAATATTGTCCACTTTTATCTTACATTCCCTCTTTTTCTTCTTTCTTCTTTTTTCTTCTTTCTTCTTTCTTCTTTTTTCTTCTTCGAGTAATAATTCAACTGAGTTATGCATTGTTTGTCTATCGTCTGGGGCTGACTACAATGCAGAAACAAAGTTTTTATACTCTTCCGGTAATGACATAAAAACTTTAGTGATAACAAACTTTTCTGACACTTTTTATCCCAACTGTTTGAGTTAATTTAATAATTCTTGGATCTTAGATAAGAATGTTAACATCTCAATGCCTGTTTCAAACATATATTGAAAAAAGCGCTGCTATATTACATGGATGTTTGTTTCTGTTTTCTCCACATTTCAGATGTAGTGGAACACGAAATTACGTGTAAAATTATATTTACTATAATTATCGTAACTAGTGTGTCTTGGTGTCTTTATTTTCCATGATTCCAAAACCCACAAAAGGTGCAACTCTTTTGTCAACTTTCTTCCTTACAACGTCTAGCAGGCGTTCTAATAGTATAGCGTAGTACAAACCAGTTGAAGAAGTACCTCGGTTTTCGTAGTCAGTAAGAAGAATGGAGAGTCTTGGCCACCTTGAAAAACCATGGCCACTGTTTTCTGAGATACAGAGGAATCTGAATTTTTCCAGCCAACCGGGATACTTTGAATTTCTTTGGGATGCCCTGTGCCCTTTTGTCACCTGTCACTTGTCACTTGACAAAACTCGCGATAACACTCAACTAGCCGCTGCTTCTGGTGTAGCGTAGGCATTATAGGAACCACTTTCCGCACACCTGTGACATGATTGTCAAAATAGTGACCCTTTCTCTCCAACAAAATTCCTATTTCGGTAACTTTTTGTTCTAACTACGTATAATATAATACGTAATGATTATCAAGTTATCACATAAAACCATAACAGATTGGAAACTGTTCAGAAAGCAACTCAAGTCGGACGTATCTTCGCACCTATTACAAATATTAATGAACAGGGAAACTACCTTGTAAAAAAAAAATGTCGTACTGTTTGTTGATCTACAGTATTTAAATGTCTTGCTTATAGTTTAGATCATACGCCAAGCTAATAACTAAGTGACGTTGATAATATCTTTCAGCTTCAGAAACACACAATAACACCGTTCAAGAAAGACCGTTAACGAAAATTAAAGACACAACTTTAATGTCTAAAATTTGTATACTTGCAAATAATATTATCTAATCGGTCAAATTTTTTTCATCCAGTTTTATTTTTGTCACACAGATTTGCTTTAATTTATTAAAATAAAGTAGACTAGTGATTTACATTTTAAATGTAAAAGATGTCGTATTGTAATCTAAGTGTATGATTAATTACGTCTCACTCGATCAAAGATAACTGTTGTGTGATGCATTTGTATTATAAAATTAATACTGGAACAAAAAAAAACATGGCAAATCAGATAAAAGCTTGTAAAAATTAAGTATCATGGATATGTATTTATTGCAAGATTCACTTATATGTGTACATTGTAGTACAGTTGGTATTTACACGCAAAATATTTCTTCTTACTTACCTTAATAGAATGAAAGTAAAATATCTATAAAAAGTGAAAATCATTTAAAACATTCTTTTAAATGAAACTAATATTTTCCGATTTACTACGCGATTTTTTTTTGATTATAAACTACATACTCCCGACGTTTCGGTTACTCTATAGTAGGGGTTCCCAACCTTTTTTTAGTTCCGGACCACTTTTATATTATTCTTGTTAGCAGGGACCACTATGTAAGTATAATAAAAATAAACCGTAATAATCAAACTGAAACTTTAATTAACAAATCAATAGGATATTACAAAACAAGAAATAATAATATTTTTAGGATAAACTTCTGCAATTTTGTATTAACGTGATTTCTGAGCTTGCATTTTCTTCACGAGTTCGGATATCCCAGGACTAATATTGTTACTCAAAGCTACACGCAAATCATCACTTACTTTCAAACGATTCCTCGCTTTGTTTTTAATTACCAATAAAGCAGAAAATCCTTGTTCACATAAATAAGTTGTTGAAAAAATCATAAAATAGCGCAAGGCCATTTCTCGAAGTTTAACTTAACAATTATTTTTTTTACACCAAAACGACTCAAAGACTCACCGCCTGCTAAATTTAAAATCATTTGCGGACCATATTTTGGCTTCTGCGGACCATTGGTGGTCTACGGACCACTGGTTGGGAACCATTGCTCTATAGTAACCATGATCACGAGCAGACGAGATGTCTGATGATGTATAAACTTAATACATTCTTTTTTACATTAGAACGTATTAAGTTTATGAAGAAATAACATAAAAGAATCACAAATAATAAAAAAATACAGAAGCTGTGTAAAGAATCGTAATTGAAAAAGTTACAGAAGCAAATTTATATTTAGATGTTATCGTAAAGTAAAAGAAACGATTTAAAAAGCAAATGATTGCTTCTTAGTTACATATATTTAAATACTGTTAAAATCTAATCTTGAATTGAAAACTCTGTATGTTAAGATGCGTTATAACAAAATTATATTGGTATAAAAATCAACTAGGTATTTCCAAGATATCAGAATAAAAAATGTTTATAAAGTAACGAAGTAAATCTGGTTCAGATATTCAACTTTATGATTTGAAATCTGCAATAATTAAAGTCAATGTTAGATCATTAGTCAGTCTCAAAATAAATGTGTATACCTATGACGGCCTCTTGCAAAATAAGATGTATTTATATGTATTTATATAAACGTTGATTAATTGATAGAAATAACTAATAAATAATAAATTATTTCATTGTTTATAAAGCAAACATTCTACGTCATTATCAAAGTATATGAAGTTTAAAATTAAAAATACATGAAGATTGTATTGCATTGACATCTGTATTAAAAATGTTTATTACTTTTAAGCACGGATTAAATTACATGCCACACGTGAAAACTTTGTAAGGTTATAAAATAATCAGTTTTTAAGCTACACAAAAAAAAACATAAAATTTAATGTACCTATATGTAGTTTATTCTTATTTAAATTATTAATTTTAATTTTAATTTACTCTGTTAAAACAAGCTTAAACAAAATACTCAAAATTTCGCAGACCATGAAAGTGGTTTTAATAACATTTTCAACGGAGTACGACATAAATTTTCTTATTCAGATTATATTTGTGGAGAATAGTTTTAATAATCTTCATTCTTAAGGTATACTGTTTAAGGAATACAAAGAAAAAGTTTGTCATAAAAATCTGGGTACGATTATTCTAAAATTAAGAAATTCCATACAAATTCTTCAATATTTACATTGTTAAAAAATTACCTACATCAATAGAATACAATAAAATAATAAAATTAAACAAATCAATTCAAGAAGTTTTGTGTGCTGTGTCGTCTGTATTGGATACAAAACTATAAAGTAAAAATTGGTATACTATGGAGAAATAAGGGAGGTCCCTAGGTCCCAGGTCCTAGGTCCCAGGTAGGTACCTGTTCTAGGAGACAATTGCGGGGCAGTTACTATTGTTAATGTGATATGTTCAGACCTCCCTCTTGTGTTTGCAGCATATACCAAAATGTTTAAAAGTCTTTTAGCGCCAAGTCTTCTAAGATTCCAAACTGTAGTAACATTTGTTGAATTTGTTACTAAACCTTCTTTGGCCCATACTTCTGCTGTGTAGGTACATTGAAGGCCACCTTCATACCCTACAAGATACAGAAATATATAAAATTGTAAACCGTAAAAAAAATTGTAAACTGTAAAAAAAATAAGTAGATACGTACCCGGAAGGCAGGTTAAATCCAGAGAATCATGAGTTAAATTATATATTGAGCAGTTGTAGGGTGGGTCAGGTATAGTTGTAGGCAGTATAATGTACACGCATGGCAACATTTGTTGCCCGGCAAGGTTTGTTGCACGACACGACAACTTTCCGTAATCCATGTGAGATACAGGGACATAAGTTAATACCGATTTTCCTTCTTGATCATTGATGTTAAATCGTTCCTTTGAAAAAAGAAATATATTTCAAGCTTAATAAAGATAATATTTAAGTAATTATGAATTACTCTGTCAATTTCATGTAAAGTACATTTCATACTAATGAAATAACACAACGGTTCCTACGTATATAAGGTCAAGTCAAAACCCTTGGTTTACAGGAGAGCGTAATTTATATTCAACAAGCCCGAGAAACATTTTCATGACCAATAACAAATATGTCCTTTTTACAATATTTTAACTATTTAAGATCTTTATCATTCAATTTACGTACATTTGAACTTCAACTTTTAGAATTTACTTGGAAAAAAATTATAGGTAACCGTCTTTACGCCAATATAAAACAGAATCATGTCAGTCATGTCTAAGATACCCTTTTATACGCAGGGTAAAAAAAATCTGTCTCAGATATAGAATTTACATAAAATGTTTTATAAATATGTGGGCTTATATTACTATTTTAAAATCAATACGTCAACATCCTGAAATCTTCAACCATGGACATAAAAAACCCTTCAATGAAGGGAGGTTTTAGTCTTTTGGAGTATGACTTTCGTTCTTGATAGGTCAACAAAATCATTTCTTTAAACAAAAGGATCAGGACAGTGTTTTATCAACTAAAAAAGGTTTATATATTCAATATTTTTTATAAAAAAGAGATTGCTTAGCAACTAATTAAAATAAAATAATTAAAGTCTCACTGAAATAGGAAACAAATATAAAAAACTATGTTGTCTTATATAAGTAATTAACCACTTTGATTTTAAGTAGGTGTCTTGTAATCCAATTGGTAATTAGAATTTAACAATTATCACAGTTTTATCAAGGTAATTTAGCTAAAATAACTGCTTATGTCCTTAATTAGTAAAATTGTATAATCATCACACCATCGTCTGAGGACATAATAATCGTTAACACCCAAATGGTAACATTTAGCAATTATCTTGATTTATTAAGACTACTTTGACTTGTTACTAACAAAGTTCCCTTCGTAGATAAATAAAAAAAAAGTATAAAAACAGTTCAGATAAATTTAGCAATCTTCTTAGACGTTACTCTGTTCTCCTTCACTATGCTTAAGGTTTTAATAGAAGTCATGAGACCTATTAGGAATACTCAATCAATTCTTTATATTTCACTTAATATAAAAAGGATAATTGTACACCTTCTCTGGAATTAATTCTCGTTGTTTTCCTCCTTCTAATCAATTTCAAGTTAGTACTTCAGGTTAGTTTTCTATAATTACTTCAGTAAAGTTTTACTATATTTTAATTATTTCCCTTCACTTTTACTATTCGTACCTTATTCCAATGATTTTTTTTCTGAATTTGGATCTTTTGTCCAAGTTTTAATGTGCAGCCAAGCTTTATAATCTACTTCTAAAACTTTATCTACTTCTAAAACTGTGTATAGAGGACTTTTCTGTTTATGCAAACGAACCAGTGTAGACCACTAATCTGGCAAGTAAATTAGTTTATTTTTTGCTGTTAAGGCATAAACGCTATCACATCATTTTGGGTGTGGCCTTTTTCTTCATTTGTGCCAAGTTTAGCAACTGTTTCATTGCACATTTAATACGTAGCTGCCTCTAATCCAACGTCAAAAAGAGTGACATTATATTCTGATAATTTTCTTTTATAACAAAACAAACAATTCAAATGGTCACCTAGATTCTAAAAGTTTTTAAATAGTAGATATAGACTACCAAACATTAAAAAAATAATAATTGTGTTTTGCCAAATCGCGATGCATGGGTTTTAGCCCAATTAACGAACACATTCCTTTTTTCATTTAGCCATTTACATTTGTTAGTATGTAATTCTGTTTCTTTTGATTGCTTTTTTAGTATACTGCCGAACTTGATGAACTAGACCTATAGCTGGATCCTAACGGACTTGATCTTAATTAGGCGTCGCACTAAACTTCCCAAAGATTCTTCATAATTATTTTTAGGTACTTTTTATGTTGTAAAAGATGATGTACTCAGCACAGATGCCAGAGAGTGAGTCGTGTGGTGCAGTGTTCCGATGTATAATTCATCAAAAAGTTTTTTAAGTGCACTGAAGAAGTTCGAAGATCATCGTGCCCGGCGTTGATCATCAGCAGACTAAACGAAAGGGTAGTTTTCACCGTCTCCTAGTGACCTCGGATGCCGAAGAGGATAATGACGGGTTCAGATGCGTTGAATCTAAATCAGGAAGGCGGAGTCACTGATGGCATCAAGGCCAAATAAGAAAGTAGTGAGGTAACCTGCAGGTGCCAGCGCAGCTGTGTCTGCACTTGTGGGCACATACGTGTCTGCACCTGAGAATGCACCTGTTTGCGCAGCTTTGAGGAAAACCTAATCAACCATCGCGAATAACAATAAAAGAGTCAAATGGACTTAATCGCCGCCACTCCATGTTATAGCAAAAAAAAGGTGGAAACGATAAAAATATCAATTTTATGTCAGCCCAGAATGCGGCGGTATGGATCAAGGTCTCTACGGCCACTTCAGTTGAACACCGTGCCCTGTCCGCAATTGTACGGAAAAACAACATAGAATACCACACCTACGCCCTGGAGGAGCGTAGGCTATCCGTAGTCATCAAGGGTCTCCCCGCGGAGATACCAATTGAAATTATTAAAGACGACCTTCAGTCAAAAACCCTATCGGGGTTGGAAGTGCCTTACCTTACTTTAGCTAAGAAAGTTTTTAATTTAGCATCCGTTGACCTTCTATCAGGCTAACGAATAGATCCCTCATTGAAATTATCGATGGAATTAATGAAATCTTTTGCTTCAGAAACCATTAAAATATTATTTCTCGAATTGGCAATACCCACTAATAACTTTACTAACGTCTATCTGTCTTGTTCGGGGAACTCCAGTAAATGGCGATTAGTAAGCCAAGGTCTTGTTTGCACCCAATGGCGTGCGATTTAAAACACCCTACAAATATGTATAGATGTCCGCAAATACGACACTAATTCGTTCGCTTATACTATTATTTGTAAAAGTAGCTAACTAAATTAAACAAAATAAAAAAATCTTATGTCATGTGCACATAGATATTCTTAATTCAATAATGAAATTAAAAAATTCCATTTTTGACTTGTCTTTACATATATCAAATGTAACTAATTATACATATCAAATATAATTTTAAATCAGTACTGTACTGTACTAGAAATATTTCTCCTCGGAATATGTTTACCTAATTTCTACCTTTCTTTTTTGAATATAGGTTTATATTTGTAATCATATGAAAACTTCCTGTATTATTATTTATTTTGTTAAAGTAAGTATCAAAATAAATATAAAATTAAATTTACTGAGAAAGATCATTTATGTGTATCTCATAAAAATAGTAGAAGTTAATAATCCTTTACTCATTATTTTTGTAAGGGTAGCATTAGAGTATTCCCAAGGATTAAACTCTTTCGCAACTTCAATCGGTGTATTTTCAAAATATATTTTCCCTTTACTGGCGTAATTCCTGTCAAAGAGATACTTCGAAGGAAAGTGTGTAAATAATGTTGTATGAAAATGGAAGTAATGTTATATCTCTTTAATTTTGAAAGATTTATAAATATAATATGAATACATTTTTTACACCTTGAGGATAAACTCTGACATAATCAACATAAAACAAATATAACGTTAAAAAATTCACGGATTATATGTTATTGACACTTTTGTAAACATCAAAGACCTACTTACAGGGTCAACCTTTATTGAGCCTGCTGAATTATTAAATGTCCACTCAAACGTGTCTGGGGGAGGGAAAGCATCTACATCGCATTCTACCTTCGATTGTTCTTGTAAGGCTGCACCTATTATTTTCATATCTTTCGATTGACATATTGGTCTATCTGTATAAAACGTATTAAAATTTAATAAAATTTACCCATATCTATTAAAATTTCTTTTAAGTTATGATTATTTAATAGTTAAAAATTATTTTTTTATTGTGTTTTTTTAAATCAGTTTTTTTGATACTAATAAATATATGTATATAAATCATGAACATATTTGTAAAGATTAAACAAAAAACTTACAAATGACTTGCATTCGCAGGGGATGCGACTTTCCGTCTCCTTCGACGTTCGACGCAGCGCAGGTATAGTTACCGGCCTGGTGTCGTGACAGGTTACGTAGTGCTAGATTTGTGTGTCCAGCTAGGATCACTCCGTGGGCAGGATTGTGTTGAAGCAGAATACCCTGATAATTCAATTTCATGTGTACAAAAATTTTATAGTAAAAAAATTATGATAAACATGAAAATACTTCAAAAACATAGGATAGGGTTGCAATAAGAAAAAATATACATACTAGTATTTAATTAAAAAGCAGATAAAATATTCGTCAACTTGTCAAATAAATATATTTTTTAAATATATTTTAATAATTTAATTAATAATGTACATACTTTAATAATTTAAATATTTTTTCTGAAAAAGATTTTTTTTCGACTCAATTTAGTCATAAAAATGAATTCTAAACTAAACTATTTTCCATAATATTAACTGTAATTTATCAAATAAATTAATATATCTTTCTAGCCACTTTCAGCCACTATAATATAAAGGCTACATTGTCAGTTCACGCTTGACAGATATACTCATATGCATGAAAGATGATATAAATCCTGTTTGTACTCTGGTGTACTCAAAAACCATGAAGAGAGAAAACTTGTATATAGCTTTAAAAATCTTTTGTTACGTTGAAACTTTTAGTTGAATATTAAACTAAGAATCATAACTAATATCTTTTGGATCTATTTTAAAAATAATTTTATTTATTACTCTGATTATTAAAAAATATAGGATTTTAAATAAAAATCAATTTTAATGTTTGCTTTATCGCCTAATAACTCTCAGCATAAGTATTTAAAAATTACTATGTTTAGACTCCTTTTCATAAGCTACACGTTGGTGTATGTGCGTGCGTTCATATTTGTGTGCATGGGTACCTGTGTATGTGCATGTATGTGTGTTTGTCATCGTAGTTTTCAAAAAACGACTGACTCCTTGCCGTTTTAGAATTTTTTTTAATATTCCATTAAATTTAATTATTTTATCTAAGCCCGATGATGACATTTTTATATTATTTTATTATATTTTGAAAAATTAAAACAGATAAGAACGCACGCATAGACATCAACATTTAGCTTATAAAAAAGGGTCTAAACATAGTCATTTTTATATATTTACCTATGCTGAGAGTTATAAGGCGATAAAGCAAAAATTAAAATTGATTTTTATTTAAAATCCTATATTTTTTTAACAATCGAAGCCTAACCTATTGGCTCATAATAATCTTTTCTTCTTCTTCTTCCTAGCAATTTCCCAGCTTTAGCCAGGGTCTGACTTACATGTTGTAATAGTTTTTACAACCGGCCACTAGCCTGACACTAAACCTCTTTGGAAACGCATTAATCACCACCCTTGCTCAAGAGGGGTTGGTGATGTCAAACTTGTAATTGTGAAATTATAAGTCCAGATTTCCTTACGATGTTTTCCTTCACGGTCTGTCAGTAATGTCTAAATACTCTCAGAAAGTACATATGACTCGGAAAAATCACATTGGTACTTGCCAGGATCGAGGCCAGGATCGGGCCACCACAAACAAGGTGCAAGGTGCAAAACTGTGGAACTCACTCCCATCTTCTGTTTACAAAGAGAGTCCAAGTGCATTTGCCTTTAAATATCGACTTAAGAGACATCTTCTGTCACTTTTACCTTAATATAATATGTAATGTTTATGTATTTATTATGTTTGTATATATTTATGTATATATCGTATGTACAAACTACAATTAGGTTTGTATTCATATATATATCTATAAACCTATTTTTTATTTTTTTCTTCTTTCTTTTTATTATACATATTCCACATTTCTCTTCTCATTTCCTCTATACAAGGGGTTTCTGGTAGAGATCTCTTTTAAGAGATAAGTTATCCTTTGTACATCACATTTCTTTTATAATAATTTAATTTTAATAATTTTTTTTTTTTGGTACATAAATAAATAAATAACTTACAACTATTAGCTCATAATATATAGTATATTTTCATCTTATTATGTATTTGAATGTGATTTTAAATACAGTTGTAGAGAAATAGAGTAAATAGATATTGGAATGTACATACAAATGTGCTTTTATTTTTGAGTTCCAATCGTTACAACGCCCATGATGAATATGAAAACGCAAGACCGCCATGAGGCATGCTTCTGACGCTGAACATATATATGTATACATTTAAATATATTTAATTTTGTGAATAAAACAACTTACAGTATCCTAATAAAAATCTCACTATAGAAATTAAACGTAAACTTTATTTTAAAATGTTCAAACTTTCATAATTTTGAAATATTATGATGTTGATTAACTTTTGACATACCCACGCTTAATTTCGTACATCACTGTTAGTCTTTTAGTGAACTAAAAAATATAATTCTGAAAAATATGTTTGTATTTGTAAAGCTAAATTTAGAAAAGATTAGAGCTCAAACCAATTACCTGGTCAATTTACGCTCCAACGATTTTTTTATATAACAAAAAAGGGGAAAATATTTTGTAATAAAATAGAAAGGCGAAATAAATTTAAACTCACGTTATGTTCCCACACCACTTTATAAATAGGGGGATTGGCATCAATTTCACATCCGAAGTACACATCGTCTCCTTCTTCAATATCGTTCGGGTTTATTATCGCGCCAAAGTGCACAGTAGCAACTGGCACATCTGTTGAATTATTTATTATTTTTATAATTAAATACAGTTCTATTCTGCTTGTTAAAAACCCTCTCTAAGTCAAATAGGTTTGACTCGATTGCCTTGTAGAAATAAAAGCGGTTCATAGCCTTCATACAAGACACACCAAAATACACCATATTAAAATAAAAGAAAGCACTAGAAAATAGTGTTTCATATGAAACTTTGAATCTCTTTTTTATTCGAGGCCAAATGATAAAATGAAGAAAAACATTTGTTATACTTTGATATTATAGTCCTTTGCTGTTGACAAATGCCATCAAAAAACCTTTTTGGATGCTGTTTTTCTGAATGCCTATGAGAGGTCTATAATATCTAGTATAATACTCAAGCCATTAATACCAAAACCATGATAGATATTTTAGAGTACTTATTATGTTTAATGTGCTTAAATAATTACGAGTACCTTAGTTATGTATTGATATAGTAATTTGCCAATAGTTTTTACAGCCATTGTGGTGTGGGAAAATAATAAAAAAATATTTTTTTTTTATTTTCCCACCCACTTGGATCAATTTGTTACGAAAAAACCTAACAAGGACTATTAAAATGAGTTAAGGATATAATATAAATGAAATTGAAAAAAACGCTTCTTTTTTTCTAGCTACTAATAATAAGGATTAAAAGTATACGTTAAAAACTTTAAAGCTTCGGGTATTTATATATCATTCTCGGCTGTTCATATCAATTGCTTGTATCAACTGCTTGGAAAAAAGATATATTCTGTTTAAGCCCTTCGATTCATATAAGGGCTACCATATACGCACGTATATATTGGCTAATTCAAGATATGTGTTGAACTTAATTAAAACAAGATAATATTATCATAACTCGTAATAATAAAAATTTAATTGAGATTTTTATTATTACGAGTTATGATATATAGATAAAGTTAGATTTACAGCACATCTATACAAATATAAATATATCTAATTAAAATATAAAATAATTTTAATGCTCTGTAACTATGTATGTTCTGTATGTTATATCACTAAATACAAACAAAAGTGAATACAAAATAAGAATGCTTACAATATATATTAAGTTGCAATTTGCTCTGAATCGTTGAACTACTGAACTTGAAATGTTCTGCTCTACATGTGAGTATTTTTCCGTTTTGTTCCTTTGAAGGTGTCCATTTCAACAGAGACTGAGTCTCGTAACTTTCTTCTAAATTCTGTTAAAAAATGTTATTATAATATAATTTTTAATGAAAATTTTGCCTAACATGGAGTCTACATCGCTTCAATCAGAAATCATCATTGTTTTATAAGTGCACCTGATGTTTTGTTATAGATTCAAGTTTTTTGCCACCTAGCCACCAAGTGATAACTGCTGGAGGTCTTGCACCGTTTGACTTGCACCAAAGTTCGGCTTGTCTTCCCACAGAAAATGGTTGCTCCCTCGATAAGATTTCGACTGACTGTGGTCGCACTAACAAGAAAATGTTTTATGTTTGAAAATCGAGACTAAGAGTATAATTAGTAGATTATTTGAATCATTATTGATTATTTTCAACTCTGTAAAATTTATACTTTTATAACATGATAATAACAATTTTTTTAATAACCAAAAGTCATCTTTAATATAATTATCTGAATTCATTAAAAATCGAAGAAACATTAAACCTCGTTTAAGCATCGTTGTAGAAGGAAAACTTTTCGGTTTGATGTTTCTTTAATTTTCAAAGTTTAGTTTAACAAAAAATGTATTTGCCCATTTCATAAAAATTCTTAAAGATACAAATATTTGCACGATTGCAATTTTATCGATACACTCACAGAACATGCACCTGCACTAGCATAATTTTTTTTCAAATAAAGCAGCATCTGACGGAAGTACTTGAAGCACAAAATATGTATGTCTATACATATAAACAACAATATACAACACTTAAACAGTGCAGAGTAACATGTATGTAAGTTTTAAACTTACATAAGTTAGTTTGTATCAGTTGTTTGTAATAACTTATAAATATTAATAATGTTTAATTCTTATTCTGATACGTAAATTGTACATAAATTGTTCTTGTTTTACTACTTTACTATACTATTTTATTCAAAATGAATCACAATGCATTTATAGATCACGTCACATCTAAATAACGTGGAATATTTAATTCTCTATGTAAGTTATAAAGTAGAATGTTTTTCAACAATTCCTCCGTTTGTTTCTAGGAAAAACAAATATAAAATTGTTATGATGGGTTTTTTCTAAAAAATAAAAGATATTTTTATGTTTCAAGGTTCTGAGAAATAAGTCTTTCGTATAACAACAACAACCCACAACTACAACATCAACCTATGGGAAAAACTATACAGTAACGTACTTACAATTGTTTATTTATATTGTTTGAAACTGAATACAACTGTAATTTAAGGACAATTAACACTTATCCTTACTGAAACAACAACAACAACAACAACAACTTATGATTCTATATGTATGTATATACTTACAATACAGATCTACACGCACAGAGGCGTTTTGTGGCGGAGATAGCAGTGTGTTATCCGCTGTACATGTGTACACAGAGAACAAGTGTGCACGAGTTGCATTTCTGACCAAAAGGGTCAATGACCTAGTGTTACCCACTGGCATCTCAGCCGTGATTAGTGAAGAAAGTACAGTTTCACCATGCAACCATTGTACTCTTGGCGTGGGATTGCCTAAGTCAATGAATATAAATTATTATACAATTTGAATATTGTGATCTAATATAAAAACACCATAGTCTATCTAGTTTATATTATATTTCACTGAACAATATTTTAATTAAGAAAGAAATAAATATAAAAAAAATTAAATTTATCGACAATAGTGATTGTACAATAGTGACAATATAATAATAAAATAACTTTTACAAAACAAGCCGTCCTTCATGATTGATGTATAACTTATTTATAAAAGTAATCCTTATACAGGTCACAATTATACATGATTATTTCAATGCTTCGCTTAAGCTTTTATACACTATGTTAAAACAATAAAAAAACTCAATTAGGTATCAAATAAATAAATCATACAAATAATATCAAATAAATATATCACCGTATGAACATATATTTTATTTCCTACCACTTCATTCGAACTAACCGAAACAAATATTTTGAAAATTGCAAGCATTTACTCACCAAAACTTGGCCAAATCATGTACTCACCCCCATTCACGGAGCAAATAAGCTTAAAGTCGCCTCCTTCGTTGTAAGGGCCAGCAGTTCCTGTTATTTCTTCGCCAAACTCGTCAAAGATCACCGGTTTCGAGGGTAGCTCTGTGGAAGAATAGGGAAGTTACATTTCTTATGCTAAACCATTGTTATAACGAGTTATTCTCTGGTTTAGAATAAAAGGATATTGGACCAATAATTTTATTAAAGAATTTTAGAGAACCGTTAAAAAGTCAAGATTTATTATAACATAATAATTTCTTAAAAGTACAAAATACATAAACAAATACATATAACTATTTATAAAATCCTTAAAATTTTATAGATAACGCAGTATTGTTAGTGATGACATAATTTATGTATTTTGTAACAATTGAATTGTTCTTGAGACCTTTTTTTGTTAAAGATCTGCTGGGGCTTTCTTATATGTATATAATATGACATAAAAAGCTTTCTCTTATAATACCATATAAGGAAGTAAGTTTTTCAAGCTCAACATCAATATAAATATTGAAACTTTCGATCATTTCATTTTTGCTATGATTAAAAATGTATCTTAAATATTGTTTGATAAATGATTCTTTTTTACATAGATTAATGATGAAAGAGATATATTATGCTACTTTATTGAAAAATCAAAATATTCCGTTAATTATCTTCTCATTATCATTGTTATCTGGAAATGAATATTGTACTTTTTCTAGATAAAGAGTAGAGTGAAAATATATTTGCAGCATTTTACTTCTCCAAATAACTTAGTGTGGTATTTACACCATATTTTCAAGAAAGAACGGTAAAATTCTGCACTAAGGCGCCTCGAGATATAATTCGTCCTAAAGTTAACCATAAAAATAATGAATTAACACTTTAATACAGGAGAAAAGTAAGGATATTTCAAGGGATATTAAAAGGACTTATAAATTGACTAAGTTGGCCCTGAACTGGAAATTTAAACTTAAATATCACTTTAAGAACACTTATAACTTAACTCATATGTACATAGTTATATAAGGAATGATATTATTTATAAATAAAACTAATTTTTTTAGATTTATAAATTAATAAAATAAGTTACCACAAGTAATTTTTTTAATGTATTTTCGGCTACTCATAATGTTATTTTTGACCGAATGTCGTATAGAATCAAAGGCGGCAATCTACACTTAGACTGAAATCAGAGAATTTAACATTTTCGGTTTGTGTCGTCCGATTCAAAAATAATATTACGTAACTTTATTTTAAGTGATGTAAGTATTGATGCGCTTAATATTAAACTGTCATAGAAGAAATTTAGAAAAGAATCTTGCAGAATGCCGGATTTGAAACCAAACATCTGAGAATGCCGTATTTGATACCAACTTATGTCGAGATTGCAGTTTATGAAACTTACCAAAAAAATTAACTCGTTCAGGGTTGTCAAAAAGGATATAAAAAAATGTTATAAATTTGTTTTAAGGATTTTATTTGTATAAATCAAGTGGTGATAATGAAACTACACGGCATGCACAACAACACAGCACAAGTAGCACATTTAAGCGATTTTGTGTTATGCGTGCAGACTCTTTCAGGGATTGATTAAACGAAAACTATAACCAGAAACAAGCAGAATATATTGTAATTTTAAAAATCCTTCACCCAATAAAGAGAAGCTATAATCCTGTCGCGTCTTTTAAAAAAAGCTGACAATTATAATTTAAAACTGTGTAACTTTTTTTCAGATTTTGTTCAGGAATATTAAAAGAACCGCATGAAAATCCATTCACACATATACACATAGTATAGTGGTCAACTTTATAACAATCATCTTTTGTTAGGGTTAAAAAACATAGAATACACTTTGTCTTAGTCGTGACGTGACAGCCCTATACATTTTACTTGAGTTTCTTCGCCATGTTTTGTTTCCATTTTTCTGAGTTTCTCTGTCGTTTCCGGACAAATTTATTTATTACAGGCTTAGAATGTACATCCATGATTCAATTTATACATATATTTTATAACAGTAATCACAATAAATAAAATAATTCAATAAAAACACGGACACAAAGTCGTTAGAAACTTCCAACAGATCATTAGGTCACGTGACCACACGGACGCTTGTGATTGGTGGAATGAGTTAGAATGCCGGGTTTGATTCTTATGCTGTTGAAGATTGCCGGATTTGATACTAAACCTGATTTTCAAAAAGGATTTCACTGCGAGATAGTCGTTTTTTGTTATAAAGTAAATGAAGTACGTAACGTTATTTTAAATTTCCTGTGTGTCCATATAAAAATCTTTATTTTCACTAAATTTGCAGATTGCCGCCTTTGATACTAAACGACTCCGATTATCTCTTTCTTCCGTTGTCTTTAGTTAATACTTATACATAACTATTAAATGAGTTAAAATATTAAGCGTATGGTAGGTTAAGTTCAGATCCAAGCATAACCAATACACCATTTTTATATCTATGAGTGTTTTAAGTAACTGCTCAAAAGGATGATAGTTTCAATTAACACTAATGTTCTCAAAATTACTCGTCAAATAAATTAAAAAAAAAAAATAAGAAAAAATAAGTCAGTTAACCTAAAACATTAAATCAAGATAAATAATATTTTATCTGGTAAGAATTTGAGATATGTTTTTAAGTATACAATACCGTCTGTCATAAGGTGTCGTGTATCCAATTTTCCTCATAAGCCGCTACGAACAACAGTAATTAAATTGTTACTCTTATTATGCATTCGCCTCCTTCGTTCAGTATTTCGTTTTGGAAAATTATGGTGTTAAAGCACTCGGTTTCTAAAGATACGTGTTTATTTTTTGTACATATTAGTTTTATTTCTTCTGTATATCCATAAAAAGATGCTTGGTGAATTTAAACAGATATGTATAGTTTTAAAGTAATTATGGCTTCACAGAGACATTTTCTCTGTGAATGTGATAAAGACTATCAAGACAATATGATTTTCTGATAAAATATTGAATAATAAACGATTAAAAAAAGTATATATTACATAATTAAAGGAAAACGACCGACAAACAATAAGATATTATTATTCCAGTAACAGTTCCATCAACCTACTTCTGTAAACCAATCAAAAAATATTTTATATAATCGTCGCCTGTGTAAATATTTCTTTTAAAAGAGAATACTAAAAGGCTTCAAATTAATTAAAATCCTTTATATTAGCAGTGGGAAAGCTTATACTCTCATATAAATATAATTTAAGAAACGACATGAAATAACCAAGTAATAAGAGAGTTGTATTCACAAGCGCAAGGTGTTCGTAAACACAACACACTTGTTGCACATAACTTTCAAGTTCAAATCTTTGTTATAAAAAAAATGTATTCAATGTCTAAATTATCGAAGATCAATTCACTTTTGAGCTAAGTCCAATGTGTCTTTATTTGTTTCAATAAAAATTGAAGCCGAAAAACCTAGTGGAAAGTTTGCCTTGAAATTTCCTGTAAAACTTTCCTGTTAATTTATGCGGATAGGAATTTAAATTTACGTCTTTTCCCGTCAGTAAAGTGATTGAAGATAAGTTGAAGATCTGTTATCGGAGGGATATTCTATTATTCTGCATAAAAAAATCTTGTATCATATGAAATGATGACTTTATTTTTGATTTTTTTTTATACATGTGTAATTTTACGATAAGTAAAATACAGCATTGTTTTAAATTTATGTATTAAAATATTTACAATCTTTGTATGAAAATCTTGGTAATGTTATTATCGTTATGCAGCTATTGTATTATTACTCTTAGTATGAAATTTACGTATATTTGGTTTAATTTCAAGTGGGAAAGAGCCCTTAGCAAAAGAACTGTATCGAAGTGGTATTATTGACAATTTACGATCCCTCTTGGCTTTTTATATTTTTCTGCTGTTATAGGACAGTTCAATTACTAATATTAATATATGAAAGAAAGGGTACATCACCCAACTGAGTTCAGCCTTTTTTTCAATATTTAAGCCATCAAATTTTACGACACTGCACAGTGGGACAATCACTTATGTTTCGACTCAAAACTCCGTATCTCAGTTATTTCAAAACTGAATGATCTATAATTTTGGAAACATATACCTACGAGAAAGTATAAGGCTTAGTATAAAAATAATAATTTTGACAATTATTTTTATTAATTTATTTTAAAAATATATATATATTCATTTCAGTTACTTTCACAGTATAATGTCATACGGTATTATGCTGTGGGGCAACGCAGCCGCTATCCATACTATATTTGTGCTACAGAAGAGGGCTATAACCTAGGAGCTAAAGAATCGTTAAGGAATAAATTTAAAGAAATCAAGATATTGACTGTTGCTTCTCAATATACATATATTCTGCAATGTTATGTATGTACGAAAAAATATTAATGATTTCATGAGAAAATGTGATACTCATAGCATTGGTACAAGGAACAAACATAAACTTGTTACTCCTGTTACTCGACTACATAGAGGCAGTAACTATATATATATATATATATATATATATATATATATATATATATATATATATATATATATATATATATATATATATATATATATATATAAAAATTTGTCTCATATATTATATGCACAATTTAATATGAGATGAAATAGCCAGGAGGCGATCGTTTCATTCCCAAGGTGTGCTATCGTTCATAAACTCATTAATTGTATAGTAACCTTATGCACACAAGCGTTCCTTAATATTTTTTTTAAATTTAGCAATAGAGGCATTTTGAACGCTTTCTGGGATCCTGTTGTAAAACCGTATATTTATTATTGCCCCACAAAGGAGTTACTGCCTCTATGTAGTCGAGTAACAGGAGTAACAAGTTTATGTTTGTTCCTTGTACCAATGCTATGAGTATCACATTTTCTCATGAAATCATTAATATTTTTTCGTACATACATAACATTGCAGAATATATGTATATTGAGAAGCAACATATATATATATATATATATATATATATATATATATATATATATATATATATATATATATATATATATATATATATATATATATAAAAAAAAAAACCGCTGAGTTTCTTTCGCCGGTTCTTCTCAGGTCAGGGTATTTTCTTTTCCGAACCGGTGGTAGTGTCTCAAATGAC